TTTTAAATCGGACAAAGGTTAAACGATGTATTGTCCGGATTGTTTTAAATCGGTCAAAGGTTGAACGATGTATTGTCCGGATAAGGGTTGTATTTATAAGAAAAAATCTAAACCTTTGATCGTTTCTAATTTCATGCACATCCATGAATTATGCTTTAGAAGAAAATTGATCCAGTACATCTTGGTGTCACCTTATTAGTGTTGACATTCAATTACGATTAATAGTGTAGATCTTTTCTTACGTTTCTCACTATAACTTCCTTTTTCACCGGAATCCAAACCCCAACCCATTTTACCATCTATACAACTTATCGTGCGACTAACAAAGAAAAAGAACATTAAACTTTAATATATTTATAGATAAATGAAACCAAAATTCATTGTCCTCTAGGTATTTATAATACAATAAATCAATTAAATTCGTATTGGTCGTGAACAACACAACGATCCCGCTCACATACTGAAGATTAGAAAAAGGACAATGGTCAAAGATCTTATCAACGAGCAACTCTTATATCACGATAATACAACTTTGGGTCTTCGTGGATTCCGAACCCTAATTTCAGGTGAGATATATTGCCAAATACGATTCAGTACCAAGGATTCGTTTGGTATAACTCTTTTATTCCATGACATCTGTCCGTTACCAACTACCAAAGACAGATAAGCCAAGGTGCTCATAAGCTGACCCAAACATCCACGGTTTCGATAAAACCTACCAAAGCCAAAAACTAGGGCAAAGGCATGGGTGGTTTCCATTTGTAGAATTCCATCAAGTCTCTATTAACTATGGATCCATTATGCAGCCAAAACGTTTCGGTTGACTGCTGAAATCGTCTTGTTTTCCTCTGGAGTTCCCATAATATTCCGCTAAACGCAGAGCAAGGCTCCAAATCGGGGGCATAAACCCATAAGCATCTCAACTTTCTCCCACGAGCGATCATCTCCTCTATGTGTTTGTCTAAGCATCACATAACCAAAAATGTGCAATTATTTACAAAAATGGTGATGCAAATATGGGCAAAAATGCATCTAAGGGGCCATTTACCAAACTCTTACCCGGTAAGTGTTTACCAGGTGTCACTTACCTTACCAGTAAACATGGCGAAGACCAAGAATCTTACCTGGTAAGAGGCATAGAAAGGACCGAGAATTTCACCACGTAAGTGGGGGAGAAGACTTTTACCCGGTAAGAGCTTACCAGATAAAAGACGCTTAGCACAATCCATTTTGATAGCCGATAATGTTACCCGATTAGGTAAGTGAGAGTGGTAACTCTTGGCAGAAAAGGCTTACAGGGTAAGCGTTTGTTAAAGGACCCCTAAGTTTGCATGTTCCTATTTAGTGTAACAAATTCTTGTTCCCGCTTAATGTAACAAAGTTGCCAATTTGGTACCAAATTTGAACATTAACATGCAAATCTTGTAACATTTGATGACATGGATACCAAGTTGTCAAGTTAAAATGTAAAACTGATTGCATGGAGAGTCGTAGATAAACTTATTTGGCAATTGGCATCCAAAATCAATTCTACAATATAACTTCATAACATGGCAATGACATCATCAAATGTTACAAAATCAATACGGTTAATGGTCGTATTCGGTACAAAGTTTGAAACTTTCTTACATTGATTGAGACACAAAATTCTTTGTTAATACTACTTCCCTCCCAAAATAAGTGTTCACTTTCAAATATATATAACTAACTTTCCAAACCTACCCTTAATGCATAAGTGTTTAATAGTTGATAAATTAGATACATTAATTAAGAGTAAACTTGTAAATTGGTTAACTAAAAAGTGTAATAATTATTCATGTCTAAAACTATTAGCCATTTCTATTATGGCATGTCAATTTTGGGACGGAGGGAGTAGCAAATAAGACAAACGTTGCTGCATTTTGGTGTATTTTGCCCATGCAAATATCATAATATAAAAACCAAGTACCGGAAAACAAACCTGGTATGGACTCCAGGTACTCAAGAAGTTGAGTACCGATTCGTGAAGATGGCCATTTAATTGATATCTGAGAGTAGTCGACAACATTTTGAAACGGTAGCTCTGCATGATCTGATAAGAGCACAGGCACACATTCCTGTTTTGCATGAAAACTTGAATTATTTGCAGAACCGCCATTTTGCAAGTGCAATAGAAACACAAGCGCAGGTAGGGTTGTGGTAAAAAACCAAAACTGAATAATCCACCCGAATTGAACGAGGTTCAGGTTATTCATTTTTTTGGTTTAAACAGTTCAGTTAACCAAATAAGGACTCATAAAAGCAAAGAGTTCAGGGGAGAGAGAGACCACAAAAAAGGACTCATAGAAGCGAAGAGTCCATGATGACTCGCCACGAGGAGCCAAGCAGAATTTGGCATTGCGCAAGTGCAGAAAGTAATCAGCCTTCCCCAATTTCTCAGGACCGCTGAACTTCAACTCTGGAGATTCCAACTGTCCATAAAAATCAATATGCAAACTGTTTGCAGAAACATAGAATGCAAGCGATATCAACAGAACTAAGAGTTCAGTTTTTCCCTTTATTTCTGGTTACCCAATGACAATAACCAAAATATGAGAAGAGGGGGGGTATTTAGTTAAATGACCTTCTATTGAAGTCACTTTTACAAACTAACATTGCAATGCTTTTTCAAGATTTTACATGGCAGTGTGTTCTTTTACACCAGAGGCGGGTTATTTAGCTCGATAAACCAAATATGATGGGTGACTTATGTTGTTCATGCCATGAATCCATAAAAAGTACATACCTTATCTGGGAATTGCTTAGCAAGATCTATTAATTGAAGACGGCCAAGCTTTCCTTGTGCTCGACCTAAGTAGTTTGCCAAGTATTTCCTCTTTGAAAGAGGCAAAGGCTCTACCAGCTTTATGCCATTAGTCGTCATGCCATCATCAACATTCCCCGGGATGATTATATCTTTCCATGTATTGAAGGCACTTGTGTCCCTCTTATCTGTCCGGTCTCCCTGTATTCACCATGTACATTTAACATTATTTGACTCAAACATGAACTCATACACATCACACATGTATGTTGAGGAAAAAAAGAACATATCATTGCATTCCGCCTTTTCTAATTCACTTTTCTCTATAAACACTTCACTTGATCTAGGAAAAATTAAATACAAAAAAGAAAACTTCCTATTACATTAAGACCAATCTCATTATGCAAAAAGAGTATGACGCCACCCTCTAGAGTGTGACACCGTACAGGTCCCACGGCCATCATGCGGGAGGTAAATCGTGTTTCCTAGGGGTAAGTGGTGTCTCGAGTCGAACACCAGACCTTCCACTCTTTCTGCAAGAATGCCCAACTCATAATAGCATCAACTATAGCAATTTCATCTTTAAAAAAAAGAAAGGTCACAGTGATCAGAATGTTCACAGGAATTTCCTTCAACAGTTTAATAGCTGCTTAGCTGGCCACCTACAAGTTAAGGGTTGCCGACCATTTTGATTAACAGCTAATTCAAATCAGGTAAGACAAAAAAATAAGGCTATAATTGTTTTTTCTCAAGTTGTGTAAATCAATCGGATTTTCTCAAACACAGTGAATCTTTCAAATCTTTTTTGAGTAATTGTATCAAAGGAAAAAGGAAGCTAGTCCTTCAGACAAGTAATTATATCAAATAAAATTGTATCCAGATATTAATTCTTATATGTTGTCGTACTTAAACTAGCTCAAATTATACCAAAATGGACTCAACTTTGTTTTCATTCCATTTTGGGGAACCATGAATCAAGACCTTTTATTTGTCCAAGTGTTGTTCATCTGAATTTGTGAATTTGGGAGGGAAGGAGCACCAACCTCAGGAGTTAGGATTATTGAACGGTTTATGTAAGAAGCCCATGATTTGAATAAGTGAGCCCCTGCGCCACTGCCAAAACTAGCACTTGTTAGTCACAATAAAGAAAGGTACTTTGAAGTTACAAAAGCATGACGAGTATTAAATTTTAATGGTAAATTGAGAAGAAATCATATAGTGATCACAGGCCCCACTCTCAGCTGCTACACTAACATTAATGTTTGCGGTTACTTCAGGCTTTTAGACACACCAATCTACAAGCAAAAAGTTATACAGTTCAGCTGGATTTACTACAGCACCCTTATATCTTATAACTACAACATCCACTATTCCATCCTTATTTAATAAGCCCTGTTCCGATTCATCAATTTCCAAGAAATGCTCAAACCTCCTTGTTTAACCCCCACCTCCACCAAAACAGCCTGTAACTTTTGGAACCATATTGTAGGTTAGAAAGAAAGAAGATTTGATGGAAGGCACCAACGCCAAAAGATGTTCTCTGTCAAGCTACATAAAAACCTATTCATGGTCAAGTAATGAATGTTGATTGGATCATTCAGCCTTGTCCCTAGTCCAGTTGATTTTAGAACTTTTTACCTAGAGACGAGGTTCTAAAGGGTGTGTAGCATGACATGGAGGCGAAATCAAGCCTCAAGCCTTAGGAGCCATGGTGAGGCCATGGCGTTTTTTCAAGGAGTGGCTTAAGATGGCAAGATATATATCTTATATAACTCTATATATTACACATTTATGTATATTATTACTCAATGATATTGAACAATTAAATTCATAAAAAAGAAGAAAAATCATATGTTGCACAATAGATATAGAGCTTACAAGAAAGTGTTACATCAAGAGACCATAATAATGTAAAAAAAAGAGAAGACAATTTTTTAATAAGTATATAAAAAGTCAAATAACTCTTTCAGAAAAACTGGCACCATACCGCACCTCTAGATGCCATGGCGTGCACCTCACCTTACATGGCCACTACGGGGGTTAACTTGGCATCGGAGAAGCGTCTCATGCCATGGCACGTCTTTTAGCACCGTGCCTAGCATATTTCAAATTCGGAATTGACACAGACAATTTTAGTTTCGTAACCGGAAATGCTTCAATATACTTACTTCTTGTTTAATTATTGTTCTCAATTTTCTGCCTTGAAACAAAACAATTTTATCAATTTTAGCATCATCACTTAGAAGCCAAATATAAACACCTTTAGGGACAGATGGAGAGAATAATATTGAGCCTTTGGCCTGTTAAAAAATAGGATTAGATTTATCATCATCCTTTCCTGCAGCAAGCTATATATCTGAATGATCCATCAAAAGGGCTAAACAGAAATGTGACCGATTTATGCAAGGACTACAAATCAGCATAACCAGAAGTACAAGGATGCAGATTACATCTGTATACAATTAAAAAACAGCTGGAGAACTTTAGCATAACCGTAAGGCTACCCGTTTGTGGCCTGAGGATCAGGGTTCAAGATAGATAAAAGCTATTTTCGTAAAATGCAGAGAAGAAGCTGCATAGAGAAACTTCCCTCCACCACCCACACAAAGCCGAGGGGCCTTGGTGCACATGGGTCACCTTCTAATAGTTTGGAGACAACAGTTAAAAGCTGGAACTGATGCAAGATTTTAAATCTGACAAGAAAAGATTCAGTCATCCAGCAAATGAAGGTGGTCCTGTATCCATAGATGTTTTCAATAACTTCTCCTTCAGAATGTAGTTTAAAGCAAAAGAGCTAAAGACCAATAGAATACATTTCTCAAGTGCAAAGTTCGTCAAAGAGAGATCTGATAAGGCTCACTGATTCGCACAATTAAGAGTAACAGGGAAGGATGAATATTGATTGTATAGGAGAAAGGAAGAAGGAACAAGTAACTTCCCTGGAATTTGAGAGCCAGAGACTTCTCCTATTGTGAAAGTAACCACTTGAAGGCCTGCCCTCTTATTGGCAGACTCTATTTATATACTAATACGTACCCACTTCCCAACAGAATTTCAGAGAAGACTGTAATGCCCTGGCCCAACAATTAATTTCCCACTATACTCCTTTTAGAATAAAGGTGATTCACTGGTGGCTTATCAAGATCCTTCTAATCCTTCCCTTCACCCTCATTACCCTCCAGTAATCCTTCTAAGTTTATACAGAACTAACAGGAATAATTGATGAACAGGTTATAACCATAAACAAACACACCTTGGGAACACAAATATGTGGTCGCGTCCACCTGATAATCTGAAATATGGCATTTGGCTTAATACCTGAAAGCAACAGGCACTACATTAAGGACCTTTTATCATGGTAATAGCACAAGCACTCTATTTCCAACTTACAAAGACGAATGACATGAGCCAATTGTTTAAAAATGATGAAAGTTATGTTCAGAAATTTTTAATTAAATGTAAGTTATAGATCAATATAAATGCAGTTTTAAAAAGAAAATGTGAAAGTAACACTGTTGCTGATAGAATCAAGCAAACTATTCTCAACTGAAGTACAATTTATGTTATCATATTAGATACACTACCTTGACATATGTTTGATTTATCTCTTTATCATTAAGACCACCCATCATCCGAACACATTTAACATAGGACGGTATGAAGAACAAATCTGCCTCTGCTTGCTTGTGTGTACGAAACCTTGATTTAAGTAGAAGCTTGTGTATCTTGACCTACGATTCACATTACATAGAAGAAATTGCATAACCTTTAAAGAAAAATAGATGCAGTAAAATTAAGATCATTTGTATTGCAGAGAAGTATAGCGTTATGTTAAATTGAAAACGTTTGAAAAGTTGTATCGGTTGGTTTTACATTCATATGATTTGGCAATAGTCAACTTTGATCAGGAGATAGCGCCAACCAATGATTAAAATGTGATTTATATGTGCAACAAAACGGCTAAAGCCTGTTCACACATAAAGTACTTACGGAACACTTGCCCCCAATTCCAAATTTTAGGGGTATGTGTATCTAGTTTGTTTGGACACTTCCCTTAACTAGTTGTATCTCAAAAGTGAAAATTGTTTCTAGCAAATTATAACAATCAAGGATTAAGAATGATCCTTCATGGACAATAGATTAGGTCATTTATTGCCAATGGTGACGATATATAGAATTTGATAGATTACATTGACACAATACCATTTAGGTCTTTATTCAGCAACCTAGTTAATCCAGAAGGGCCTGAATTAAAAAAACTCCCATTTAAAATAGTTGGCCCCTTCCACCTTGCTGTGTCAAACCTTAATGGCATTTACAGCCTTCACAATTAGCTATTCTCTTTTGAAGAAGAGAGTAATTTCATATTTAGTTTTTCATGTAACATCGGATAAGTTGAATTAAACTTTATATCATCACAATCTCAGAAAGATAAAAATGCAAGCAACTACCTTAAAAATTACATAAAAATGTTATCCATGTAGATTAAAAACACTAATGCCTTCCCATTGAAATTGCAGCATTTATTTCCAATAGTGACACATTACTTTCATCTGCACGTAGTAATGGCATGGCTCCGTGCGACTCTGTCTAGTAGCCTATCCAAATACATCTGTGCATCATTTCATGAACAGGGCTTAAATCACAAAAAATAACGCTGCACTTATCATTTTGCTAATAGCATCCCCTAAGTGATTAAATCAGCCAACCATCGCCAACTTCAGTCGAGAAAAATTATCATCCAAGCTGTCAAGCGCAGCATCCAGATGTTCAATATGTTCCTTGTTGGTCATTACATCAAGCTCTAATACCACCAATAGTCATTAGTCCCAATCGAAGCCAAGCAAACAGCAAAAGAAAGACAGAAAAGGGACTCAGCTTTGGGCGAGATTAAAGCTACAAGATTTCTGAAATTGATAACTTATAATCTCTCACCAGAGAGGACAATACTTTAATTAAAACATTCCTATCCTACATTCTAGCCTACTAACTCTAAACATGAGATATGGAAAATAACTAACAATTTGACAAATTCTCTTGGAAGGAACAGCCACCTACTTGTGCAGGACTTATAGGCTTATCACCAATGAAAAGTGTCACAAACTGCGGTTGTTACTATTAGAAGGCAGTAGCCACACCGAGGAAAAGACTGACTGGTCAATAGCAAGAGAGTTTGAACACCAATTCATTAATGTGAACCTTGAGGAAAAGGTTCAAGACAAAGAGGGTGGTATTGATATTTGATACACCAAGAAGATCTAAATGAGTGCCCAGAACAAATCCAAAGTTCATGGATGGGTATACAAGACTGCAGTGGGTGTTCTTTCCAAAGAATTTGTTAGTTATTTTTCATGAGGACATGTACAGAGTTGTGGGCTAGAAAGTTGGGAAGTGACCAAGTAGTTTTCTATTTGAAACCAAAGTATATTTAACTCTGTCAAGGACAGCAGAAGGTTATCAATCTATTGAATTTATCAAGGTCCATTCAATCCTTTTCACTCATGAAGTCTGGTAGTACATCCATAGAGGGACGACGGTCTCTTACCTCAAATACGTAAAAGAAAAGGCATCATCCTAACTATCATGACAACATAGTTGTCCTCCATTGTACTATGAAGCTTCATCTCCATCTCCATATTGAAAAAACGTCGTTGCCTAGACTACAAATTCGAATTTGTCATTCTATCTACTCCACTAAACAAAGGCAAATTTGCAATGGCGATTTGGAAGGAAAAGAAGGGATGTATCATTTCATCGTGGTGATATGGTACCAGAAACTAATCTGATTAGTTCAAAATCATTATATGTAATAGGAAATCACAATGGATCATGAGACTTTACAACAGTACCAAACAACCAGAGTTCAAGTGAATCATATAAACGCAATTGATCCGCATAAATCTGTAAGAACTATTTCACCGGCACGACTGTGATTGAAGAACGCATCAAGATATAGAATCCACGAACCCACGTACATCCAAAAGGAAAAACGGATTACCTGAGTACCCCATTGGCCCTTAAGGCAAGAATCCGGCGAAATCTTTCCATCACGTCCATATAGCAACTGTTTAAGGCCGTCAATCTCGTTCTCATCATAGACGTAGATCTTGAGGAAGATGTAGGATCCATATCCACGATGAGGCCACCGTATTGAACTATCGACTTCTGAGAAACGAATCAAGTTGGATTCAAGTTCATCGCCATGGAAGGGTGAAGTGGAGGAGGAGAATGATTGGTCTAAGAGTCTAGTGGCGAAGAAGGTGATGGAGATTAGGGCTAGGGCTCCGATCTGGTGTGAGCGGGTGCAGCGTGTTGAGGTAGGAGGTCCGAATAGTCTGCTCTTGATGTTGCTTGTGCTGCTCATTGTTGGAGTCGGAGTAGCAGCAGTGAGTGAGAGCTTTTTGAGGAAGAAGGTCACAACGACGTCGTTTATTCGGCCAAAAGGAAAATTACAACATAGTCCTCGAAAGTGGTTAATCCTCCCCCAATATAAATGTCCAAAATTGAAATTTCACATGTTTTATGCATACATAATTATTATATTTTTTATTAACCAAATAATATATTATCTTTATTTAATTTTTCTCTTATTATAACTCTTAAATATTTATGAAAAAAAAAAAATATCAGATTCAGGACGAAAAATGTAAAGTTGGCCAAAGTATTAAAGTTAGAGGGTTGAATGTTATTTTCTGAAAGTTTAGAGGAAAGGTCAGATAGCAGCTTACTCATACATGAGGTATCTGTTATAACAAAGGACATATTTATTTATTTTCAGAATTTAGAAAACGACAACTCTTTTAAAGTTCTTATCAGTTTGAATTTTCAACTATTAAGACAAAAAAGTTACAGAGTTAGCCATTAAATAGCCAACATAGTCCTCTACCTTTTTTGTTCAAGAAAACCAAAAATTTCGTCGAGTTTCAGAAGAGAAATCAAAGGTCGAAGTTTGAAGTCCAAAAGCTCCCTTTATTGACGATTGGAGGTAAAATACCTAACCAAATTTTAATTTCTTTATATGGTTAGCTTTTTTTAAGTCCTCTATCGAACCCTAGTAGCTTATGTCTCAGATTTAGTTTTGAAGGTCCGGTTTTGAGTTTGTTTTACTGATTTTCAAAAGACCGCATCTTAAAATGAGTAAATAAGATTCAATACTTGATGATTTTCTTTGATTTTAATTCTTATGGTTGAGGAAAATGATTTTTTAGAGTTTTAGCAAGAAAATCATCGAAAACGACGAAGAACCGAGGCTGAACGGTCAACTTTCCGGCAGCCGGCGCTATTGGACTGGTCGACGTGCTGGGCTCCGGCTACATTATGGGCTGTATCAGATGAACCAAAATCAGTTTCAATGTTGGGCCATGTGTTGTTGGACTCATTTGTTTTTTAAGTCCATTAAGTTATGTTGGGTATTTTATTTAAATTATTTTTGGGTTTAACTTTAAGTTAATTAAGGTATAATTGTTGGAATTATGTTAATTAATTAATTTATTTATAAATTATTAATATGTTAACTTAAAGTATTATTTAATTAATATATTAATTTATTTTAGAATATTATTTAATTAATTCCTAAGGAGGTGTTATCAGATTATTTAATTAAGTTTTAATGACGGATTTTAATTGTCATATTTTGGTTAAATATTATCGAGACGATTTAATGCGGAACAAATGATTATTAAAAGGTTAAAACCAACGTTGATAGTCGTTATCAAGCGTAGTACATAGAAGTTTATAAAATTATTTTGATGATTTAATAATGGGATTAAAGCATCATAATTGGAGTTAAGTGTTTATTGGTACGCTTTAATTTAGAGACATTGATTTATAAGATAAAAAATGATTATTTTGACGTTTTGAGACATCCTTGAGTTTTAGACTTGGGGTTTGACTAAAGTAACGAGGTTGACCGAGTTGACCATGGGTTGACTTTTAACTCGTTTGATCCACAAGTGTTTTAACAATAAGGTCAGATGAAGATATTTGAGATATTAAGAGACTCGGTTTTTGGAGTTTGACTTTAAGTTCGGGTAAAGTTTGACCATAGTTGACTATTATTGACTTTTAGATAAATAAGCAATTAATGAGTTATGGTATGCAATATGTAGATCTTCACTCAAGAGCTATCAATAGTCGATCCACACGAACTAGGGAGTTTTCGAGGGTTTACCAATACCTACATGGGTAAGTGCTTACCGGCAAAATTCAGAACTATCAATTACTTACCGGGTAAGATATTAGTCCACCAAAACAACAACAATTAACCCGGTAAGTGCTAACCGTGGTAAGAGTCGTCGCCGTCACTTACCGGTTAAGACTCTTAGTCCTTGCATTCGATCTTACTGAGTAAGATTCTTGGTCCTTGCAATGTTGATTCGGTAAGGTAATTAGATTTGGTAAGCGCTTGCTCGAATAAGCGTTTGGTAAACGGCACCTTCATGAGACTTACAATGGAATGCATACCTACATATAAATTTATTTTGAGCATTATATGATTTCTATGGTAATGTGTATGTATGCATGGTGTTTCAGTTTACATACATAATACAATATACTTTACATGTATGTTATTTATGATCAGTTGCATGCTATGTGCTTATTTTGTTTTCAAATAACTCTTGCATTCTATTTCAAATGAAAGTTTTTATGATTGGTTTTAACGGGTGACAATATGACCAGTAAGTCACACGACAAAGTGGCACGATCCCGTAATGGATGTCCGCACAAGTGCAGGTCGGACAACCCAGGGAATGCCAGTGACTAAATTACTCATATACGACCCGACAGTTTATGAGATCTATTTTCTTTCAGTATTGCATGTTCTTAGAAAGCGTATACTATTTGGTGCAGGGTTTACAAGTTGAATATGTATAATGTAAAATGATTTAATTCATGCAAACCATGAACTCACTAAGCTTTATAAGCTGACTAAAGTATTCATATAATGGACAAGACGTTTAAGGTTGGATAAAGCAAAATGGCACACATAGAGACTTGCCTTGTTCATTTAAGTTCAATATTTAGATTTAGACATCTATGATGGATAAACTTTGTAACACAATCCATTATAGAACGGATTAGCATGTACGTCACATATTTAGTGTTTTTAAGTCTTCCGTTGTAAATGGTTTTAGTTTAGCCGTCATTTTGGAGTGTCTATGGAGAAATTATTTCAGAGTACGTACCTTCTCTCATGGTAAAATGAGCGTGTTACACAAATGATGTGGGAGTTGTCATCTCCACATACGATTTATAAATATATGAAACCAACGTATGTATAAATATATGGATATATATTGGAAGGTTCAAATAAGAAAGCAAAATATCGTGAAAAAATAAGGAAAAGTTAACCAAAGTTACAAATAAGGAGAAGTTAACCAAAGTTACCAAAGTTATCAGAATCTGTGAACGGCTAAAATTGATTTGTATGGTTTCTTAGAATTGGATTGTTTGTAAATTAAACGTCCCATATATATATATATGTGTGTGTGTGTGTGTGTGTGTGTGTGTGCGTGCGCTTTGGTACACGTGAGACCAACCTGTTTTCATGAGATTCGTGAGACCACATTTTTACACTTGAAACTTTATAGCAAAACACTGTGAAGGTAAGAAAAAATCCGAACTTTCACAACAAAAACACTATGAATGTTATCTTCACAATATTTTCTTATGAAGTTTCAAGTGTAAAAGATGGTTTCATGGGTCTCACAAAAATAGTCTGGTCTCACATGTTATCTTCACAATGTTTTCTTATGAAGTTTCCGTAAGACCAATTCTCAACCATTGGATTAGATCTACAATCTGACAATTTGAACATTCATAAACGCCACGAGACTTCTCAATAATCATAAAATTACCACCGTGCAACTTTAAATCATTAGTTTATAAAGTTGATCAATGAACATAAATCACATATGCCTCCATTATAAACCCAACATGATTTGAAATGTATACAATAAATTCCATCTTACTTTAATGCATGTGGCCATTGTTGTTACATTGGACTTCTATTCAACTATTTGTTTGTGGCCAACTCATCAACTTTTTTTATTCATGTTCATGAATGGAATTTTCTTATGAACATATGCTAATTTTACTCATCACCAAAACAATGCTTGTCTTGTCACTTTCAAATGTTCTTTCACCATACATTGCTACAAGCATCAAGCAACTATAATGAGGATATAATTTAGGGGCCGTTTACCAACTACTTATCCGGTAAGTGCTTATCGGTAAAATTTAACATTATTATTTACTTATCGGGTAAGATTTTAGTCCACCAAAATGACATTGTATGCAACATTGAACTGTTTATGGAGATCTATTAAGCATACATCGTGTAAGTGTCATGTGTAGCAATTGTGAGACCTTAGCTTTTCTTTTCTAACAGTGATGAAGATGAACTTTAATTACAAATTTTTTATAGTTACACGCTAATAAAATTGGGAGATTGATCGAATAACCGTTGAAATGATATCGAGTTCTAAGTATTTATTGTGTAATCATTGTGAAGATCTTTGCAAAAGAAATTTACGTTTTGATGATTGAATATGACGAGGACGACAATAAACTTCAAACTAGGTTGCGTAAATTTGAGTTTTCATAATGATATTGGTTTTCCTCAAGAAAAGCGAGGGGAGAGGAAGATAGTAAAATGACCAGAAAGAACATCTTGAAAAATTAGTCAATTACAATATTTCGTTATATAATTAAAACAAATCCTTAATAATATAATATGTTGATTAATACAAATAAAACAGTAAAAAAATTGAATAATATAATACGTTAATTAAAGAATTTCAAATTGACTATTATATATATATATATATATATATATATATACTAGTTTTGTACCCGCTGCAATGTAGCTAAATATAAAACTTTTTTTGTGTAAATAAAAAATTAATTATCTATACTATATTATAAAACATTTGACAAAAACTCTTAAAAACTATTTTTTATGCATGAAGTACTGTATATTGATACATATTACTTAAAATTCAATATTACAAGTAATTATGCATAAGTACAACTTATTAAAGCTCAATGTTTGAATTTGTGTAACTAACTGCGGATAAACATAATCAAATAGAGGATAAACATCTCATTTTAAAATATAAAAAATCTAAAATATAATTAAGATAATTATCGAGTTCTAACAAAATAATTAATTATTATCTTTATAGTGAAACGTGTTATTTTAATATGTTTTAGTTAATATACGATTATGTATGATAATATGATAATTATGAAAAATAAAAAATGAAAAAGAAAGTGATATAGAGTAAATTAAATAACTAACTATAAGAATGTAAAGTGTAACTTAAAAATTAAAAATAATTGAAACGTGGAAGTTTCAAGGGTTCAAGGGGGTGTGATGACAACAACAGTGGCATGGTGGTTAGTGGTCGGGTAGGGTGGGTGTGTGGGGGTGTATAGCGGCGACGTGGGGGGGGGGGGGGTTAGTGGTGGGGCATGACAAACAATAATAGCATAGTTGTGGTGGATGGTGATGAAATTCAATTCTTTTCATTATGCCAATGAATGATTAATTCATTAATTTGTAGAATTCAATGAAATATGAAGGATTCCATCCATTTCAATAAATGAACCAAACAAAGAAATTTGAATTTGATCAAAGAAATTTGTCATTCAAATTCCATCAAATTCCTTTGAATTCCGCAAACCAAACGACCTCTTAAGGTTTGGATTTTGGTTCTTGTTTGAATTTATATGATTTTGATTTTAAATATTCTTGGTGTTCTTGATGATTAGAGTCGGAGAAGATGAATATTCAAGAAAAAGGTATAGTTAATTGAAAAAAATGGTAAAATAAAGAAATAAAGGTAGAAAGACCATAATGCGCTTGAGTTTAACGGACAAATTAAATGATCGTTAGTGTGAAGAACCAAATCCATAACAAGGTTTCTTTTGTAATACATAAAGTTAAAGGACAAAATCTGTAATTATTGACATGCCTCAGTGAATATCTTGCTTACACCTGTCACTTGAGTCATAGAGGTGGTTTGCTATGTTTTCTTTCGTTTTCCATTTTTGGTTATAAATCATCCACCATCTCCGTAACCATATTCACTTCCTCCAAGAGACACAGAAATTTGAAGCAAAAACTACGACAATGTCTGGTAAAGTCATTCGATGCAAAGGTAATTCTTACCAATCAATCAATCAATCAATCGTCGTCCTTCATTTGCTTCTTTTTTCTCTATTTTTGATTAATTTTCACGATTTTTTATCTGGTTTTTACAAATTGTCTGTATTCCCCCAAATATTCTGCTATGAATATGGTGGATTTAGGTTGCAGATCTCGGAGTCCTTTTTCCATGTAATTGGTTGATCATTTCCGCCGTTTTTTCTCGTTTCTGATGTGCGGTTTTCAGATTTTTGTTTTCTGATCAGTGATCAGAGATGTAGACACATTAATGTAGTCTGTGTTCTTCCACAGAATATATATTTGTTTTTTTTTTTTTTCATATTTCTGTTATGATTCATATTAGTCTATGTGTTTATTTTGCCATTGATTTTCGAAATTATTGTGAGAATCTCGAAATTCGATTGAGTTGATTATGGTTGAATATATATATATATATATGTACAGCTGCGGTGGCACGGGAAGCTGGGAAGCCACTGGTAATAGAAGAAGTGGAGGTGGCACCGCCACAAAAAATGGAAGTCCGATTGAAGATCCTCTTCACCTCCTTGTGCCACACCGATGTCTATTTCTGGGACCCTAAGGTCATATATCTCACTGCTTCATCCTCCATGAACGAATACCAAAATACCACTTATTGCTTCTTCAGTTTTTGATTAATTGCCCTTCGTTATAAAAATTTTATGCCCTAATTTATACCAAGGGAAGGAGAGTTAATGCGAGAAACATTCGGAGTTTCCCGATCCTTAGATGCATGTTAGGATGAGTATGTATCGAGATGTACTGAATCAATCTTGTATCAGTGCAATTGATGGGTGAGTTTGAGATTTAGGGGCCGTTTACTAAACACTTATCCGGGTGCGCTTACCAAGTCAAATTACCACACCGGATGAATATGATCGGTAAAAGCAAGACAAAGACCAAAAGTCTTACCCGGTAAGTGAGAGCGACGACTCTTTCCATGGTAAACTCTTACCGTGTAAATTGTTACATGCGATGTCGTTTTGGTGGACTAAAATCTTACCGGGTAAGTAAATAGTAGTGTTAAATTTTACTTGTAAGCACTTACCGGGTAAGTATTTGGTAAACGACCCCTTGGGTGATAAGAGTCCAGATTCACTTTTTACGTTTCTCACTTTTTTAATTCTCGTTCTCACACGATATGACGATAATTTGGCTTTATACCATAGTTTGATTTTTGTTCGGATTCATCATTGTTATTGTTGTTTATGGATATCTTTTTCATATTCCCGGTGCTTAAAATTTTTGAAGAAAAAACCCTTTGCAAAAACAGAACAAATACATCCTTGAACTCGTTTCTGGCATACCCTTTAACAATAAACAATTTGCAGTTTGACTCGTCCAAATTTTTTTTTTTATTTTCTTTCAGAAATTTCATCAGAATGTTATGTTTAATGCTTAATCACTTGCTAATTTTGGGGAGTTTTTTATGCCTTTTTCCGGTGATTCGAAACTAAATATGATTGATTATGTTGCAGGGACAAAACCCTTTGTTTCCTCGCATATTAGGCCACGAAGCCGGAGGGTAAAGCTTAATCTTTTTGCTTCGATTGTAGCACGATGTGATTCAACTTTTCTTATTTGTAACCCTTTCATTTGATAGAATTGTGGAGAGTGTGGGTGAGGGTGTGACAAACCTGAAACCAGGAGACAAAGTCCTCCCGATATTTACCGGAGAATGTGGTGAGTGCCGCCATTGTAAGTCGGAAGAGAGCAATATGTGCGATCTTCTCCGGATTAATACTGATAGGGGTGTCATGATAAATGACGGAAAAACAAGATTCTCGAAAGATGGCCAGCCAATTTACCATTTTCTCGGCACCTCAACGTTCAGCGAGTATACTGTTGTTCATGCCGGGTGTGTTGCTAAGATCAATCCCGATGCTCCCCTTGACAAAGTCTGTGTTCTTAGCTGCGGAATTTCCACCGGTTCGTATGGTTTTTCTGGAAGCATGTAATATTTATGTTAGGCAAATACTCAAGCACACCACTCATCTTTGGTGAGGTTTGAAACCCTTTAACATCCAGGGATGTTGCGGTCTATTGCCAACGATGGTACCATTGGGCCCATGACCCTTTGGATTGTTTCTTTTCTTTCAGAATGATTAATTAGCAAGTGTAGATGCAACTGATTTTCATGTGTTCTTTTTCGGTTTCAAGGTATGGGTGCAACCTTGAATGTTGCCAAACCGAAGAAGGGTATGAGTGTTGCTGTTTTCGGGTTAGGAGCTGTCGGTCTTGCTGTGAGTTGACTCCTCTCATTATAATAAAATCGGATTTACAGAACGTAAAAATGTTTAAATGACATAATAAACTGTTTAATAGGACTTAATCTAGTAGGACCAAACAAATGTCGTCTTATGCTAAAGTGTTGCAGTAAATTCATAGCACGTCTTTGAACGTCTTAACAAGTTTTTAGGATACTTTTAAAATAAAGTGTCCTGTTTATTTATTATAAAATATCAATAGGAATATAAAAGTGTTCTTAAAAACTAATTAAGACGTCATTAAGAGTCATATAAACTTAGTAACATTTTTACATAGGACTCCAAATTGTTTGGTGCTATAAATGGAAGTCTTATAAAGCAGACTATCAAGACATTTAGACATCTTTGACATCTTATGAACACGATTTCGTTGTAGTGTCTTTCGTTCTTCTTTCTCTAGATTTGGGCTTCGCTAAATTGCTCAAAATTAAGATGGTTTTTGAACCATTAAAATTATCTTTTGCTTCTCAGGCTGCAGAAGGAGCTCGGATTGCTGGGGCATCTAGGATCATCGGTATTGATCTGAATCCGAGTAGGTTCAACGAAGGTAATTTAGTTGTCATTTGACTTTTGTATATGAAACACGTTGGTTGTTAACGTATATTGATTTCTGTGGTTAACTCTGTTCGATTATTGTTTGAAAACAGCCAAGAAATTTGGTGTTACCGAGTTTGTGAATCCAAAAGATCACGATAAACCGATTCAAGAGGTTTTCTCCATCACGAGATGTTGTTCTTTGTTTGACTTTGAACTTTCTTTGACCATCATTTTTTATCGTTCTAACTCCCAATCATCAGGTGATTGCTGCGATGACCGATGGTGGAGTTGATAGGAGTGTCGAGTGCACTGGAAATGTTCGGGCTATGATTTCGGCTTTCGAATGCGTTCACGACGTAATGCCCTTTTAACCCATCATTTTTGAAGTACAAATTATATCCATATATAGTAAAACTCACCTACTTGGATCCTTGACCTCCTGGAGGTTGGGATCCGACGGTACCCGGGTACCATTTGGCCAATGACGATTTGGTTTTTTTAAATCCATCTTGTTAGTTATTACAATTCCGAACTTTTGGGTCTTTGTATAAATGAGAAACCGGATGCTTTTGTAGGGTTGGGGTGTAGCCGTTCTTGTTGGTGTGCCGAATAAAGATGACGAATTCAAAACTCTTCCCGTTAACCTGTTGAACGAGAGGACTCTGAAGGGCACTTTCTTTGGCAACTATAAACCCCGTTCAGATATTCCTGGTGTCGTTGAAAAATACATGAAGAAGGTAAATCTCTTGCATTCATAATTTCATATACCTAAATATATACGTGGAAACCCTTTGAATTCTTCTAAAAGAGTCCTTATGTAGAAAGGGAAAGCTCGATGTATATACAGGTTCGATGGTTTGGGCCAATTTGGAACTCCGACACATATATTTTAGATTTACCGTGTCTATGACTTGAAACGTGGACTCCCCAAAGAAACAAACCCGAATATCTTTTTTCTTGGAAGTGTATTTATATACATCAAAACTCGTACACACTACGCACATGTGGTGAGACTTGAACGAGTTCCCAGGTAGGAATGTTGTGACCTACAGGCGACCAAGATACCATTTGCGTTGGTGCGGACTACATGGGACGGAATAAATAGTCCCATATTTGGCATCACACTGCGTCAAAATATGGTGGAACAAAAACTCAAGTTCATGGGAGAGAATAACAAAAACACAATTACTATCTTGACCTATGCTACCCTAAATCTTGCTTCAACTTAATGTCTTGCCTTTGGTGCGCTTGTAATCATACGTTGTCTTGTGACGATCCATGCTTTAGTATGTTTTTATATTTGTGGATGGGATGCAGGAAATAGAAGTCGAGAAGTTCATAACGCACCAGGTTAGTTTTGCGGATATCAACAAAGCTTTCGACTACATGCTCAAGGGAGAAGGTCTCCGTTGCATCATTCGTATGGAGGCGTAGGTCGTGATCCGGTTGGTTTGTAGTGACTAGTGAATACTAATAATGTATAAAGGAATGGAATAAAGCATGGTTCAATGGGGACTTGTAAGGCCCATGAATGTACCAGCCGATGACAACGTTTTAAGCTATAATACACACACACACACGCGTATGCACACGCACACACACGCACACACACGCGCACCTATGCATACATACACACCTATGTATACATACATACCTACATATATAATTTATATATATTAAGAATATGCAATTGTCATTAATTTTTAAAAAAAATAGTGGAAGAGTGATGTGGTACGGATCTGAAAATTAACATGCCTTTTTATCTGATAAATGGGAGAAAAGGAAACGACTTATCTTCAAAATCCTGCACTGAAAGCTGGAAAACAGTGTCTGACATATCGTCTACACCTATTTGGACGGGGATTTTACTTTCTCGTTTTCTTTATTTGATTTAATCTTTATTTAACTTTTAAGTTTCCTTAGTTAATTTAGTAATTATAAATACTTCTCTTTTATTTATTATTAGATTCTTTTCCTAGTTGGGGTTTAGGATTAGTTTAGACTTGAATTTCATCGTCATTTTTAATTTTATTTTAGTCTATAAATAATGTATATTGTTTTCATTAATTTTCGGTTAAAAATCATTTTGAAGTTTTCTCATATATTTTACGTATCATTTAGGATTTAAACGTTTGACGATTTTCCCGCACTTCTTACTGTGTCAAGGAGACTTGATTTATATCGAGAAAAAATGATAAAATTGTGGTCGATGTGAATTTCAAGATCAGAGGCTTGCTGCGTTTTTTGAGTGGTAATCATTGAATCTGATACTCGTATAAATGTATATAGATTTTTACTGAATTATTCTTCAAAAAACTCTTTGGGGAGATAAAAAAAGGTTTCAAATCGAGAAAACGGAAGAAGTCTAAGCCACATGGAATTCAACTACGAAAATGTTGTAACCGAATAATATTTGAAGTCTTGAAATAAATGTTCATGGCAAAAAACACTGTTTTCGAAAGGGATAATTACATCAAAATACAAGAAATTTTGAGTTGATTCTTATTTTAGAAAACTAACTTTTAAAACTTTTTATAGGGCCTATGAATGAACCTTGTATATAATACAACTTGGTCATCCCTTCCAAAAACTAACCATTTTTACCGTCCTTTCTACAAATGCAACTTACAAGGCTTCGGGATCGAGGTCTCATTAGCCGAAGAAGACCCTGGCCAATCCACACGAACCCACAACGGATTYGGCCCTAGAATAACCAAACACACATACTTTGGGGTCGAAGACTCCATAGTATCTTTAACCTATTGGATTTAACTTGCTTTTGAGAAGTGTTAGAACAATGGATCCTGTAAGGAAAGAAGCGCGACTCGGATCTATAATAGCAGTGCGGTATACCTTGCTATGGGGGTTCATAGTCATATATATTATATGTGGTGTGTAGTAGTAAAGAGTTTGGTTCAAATAGTAACCAAGAAATTTGTGTTAACTATATTAACCAAGCTTAACCAATCATATTCCATCTTTTATTTATGTTCAAATGTAACTTATATATTAAATACAAGGGTAATTAGGTAATTTGACATTTATGTAACTCCCTAATAATTAATTGGGAGTTACAAATCTTAAAGATCTCATTAATTGATCATGATGTAATATTGAATTTTATTTTCATACGTGTTCATGATCATAATTTACGAATGATGTTCTACATATAATGATATTGTTTTTGTAAATGTAAAAGATATTCGTATCGTCCGAGTAATATGGATAATCCTATTGTAAAACAGATTGACAACAATGGAAATGACAAAATCGTCTAATACTACATTCGCAATTCGAATTCCGATAATGAAGAAAATGATCAAAGCGTTCATAKTGGTAAGTGATTAGTATGACATTTGAATTCGTTTAAATGAACACATATCAAAGGCAATAGATGTTCATATCGATACATATGCACAATCACATCACATGAATATGAACAGTATCTGTGATTCATGTGAACACAAGCTTCGTAAGTGTTCATGTACATACAACAGAGTTGGCTCTTGAATATACAGAAGATGTTCATACGGTTCACATCATGTTCATATGTCTAATATTTTTTGTTTGATGTGTTTTGAGGATATACACAAGTTGTTCATATAGATTACTTTTACCTAACTGAAAATATTAATCTAATAATTAATTTTTAAATATCATTAAATCACAACCGTTTAATATTCAAATTAATGGCCAAGATCGGTTAACAAAGTTAACACGATAATCTTGATTAGCATTTGAACCAGTCCCTATATATATATATATATATATATATATTAAATGTGGTGTGTAGTAGTAAAGAGATGATGATTATGCTCCTGTGGTTTACCAATGGTGGCTACATAGAGAAGGGAAAGGAGGATCATAAGTTTTGAAATTTGTACATGAGTAGAAAAGGATGAGGGAGGGGAACGAATAGTGTAAAGTTGAGATGAATTCTCCTTAATTCTTCTCGGATACTTTACGATGCTCTTCATTGCTACCCAATGATCATCACTTAGGTTTGACTGATATTTGCTTGTCATGCCTAGAGCATATGAATCATCCGGTCTACTAGATAACATGATGTACATGATTGAATGATGACCGAAACATAGGGAACACCCTTCACACGGTTCATGTCCTCTTTTATTCTATGACACTGAGTCTTTCTCAGTTGTAAACCATGTACCATTGGCAAGTTCCCTCTCTTGGAACCCTCCATCTTAAAGCGTTTCAAGATCTTGTCAATGTATGTAATCTGGTTTAATCCAATTAAGCGCTTAGATCTATCTCAATAGATACTTTGGTTAAGGATGTATGCTGAGTAGTACAAAAACTCAAAATGGTCACAGTTAAAAAACGTGGCTGTAGTCCCTTAGCCAAAGTTTTTTTTATTCAATCAAACCGTAGCCTATCCTCCCGTAACTTTTGACACCCTTATGGTCACATTTAAAATGCGTCACCATATCAAATGAAAAATCGTAGTCGCAGCATAAAAACCATGACCATAAACATATCCAATTTTTGTATGGTATTTGAGCATTTTTCTTATAACCATGGTCATAAACTACTTATCGCCATACAAACTCATGTGTAAAGATGGCCAAAATTCATTACATATAGCTATGCTTAATTTTTATAACTATGGCTATTAGTTACTTTTTTGTGACATAAAATAAAGAAAACCATGGTAATAAACTACTTATGGCCACACAAATTTGCCCTTCCAGCCTAGTGGTAAAGGCTTGGGCATGACATAGTCATGAACCCGAATTCGAGTCCTGGGAGGGGAGTGTTGGCGACATTTAAGTGGGGCCATGTTTAGCCTCCAAATTTGCCGGGGATTAGTTGGGCTTTGGCCCGGACACCCTTACAAAAAAAAAAAAAAAAACTACTTATGGCCACACAATTTGTTATTTAAGGTGGCCAATGATTACCCTATAACCACATGTGTTTGTTTTAAAATGGCCATAAACTACTCATTGTCACGCAAATTTTATATCATCTGTGACCAATTAATGACATATGGTTACCATATATAGAACCATGGCTATTGGTTACTTTTGGTCATAGAAATAACTAAAAATGTAGCCATAAACTACTTATAGCCATGCAAATTTCATATTAACCGTGACAAATTCATGACATATGGTTACACTGAATTGTCTGAACCATGGCTATTGATTATATTTGTCACGTGAAATAACTAAAACCATAGCGATAAACCAATTATCACCATAGAAATTTCATATTAACGGTTGTCAATTCATAACATTTGATTATACTAAATTATTATAAATGTGGCTATTGATTAACTTTGATCACATGAGTTAACATAAAACATGACCTTACACTACTTATAGCCACACAAATTTTACATTAAGCGTGGCCATTTCAAGACATATGGTTACTTTGAATTGTTAAAAACCGTGACTATTGGTAGCATTTTAGTTACACTAAAGAGCTAAAACCGTGGCCTTATACTATTTATAGCCATACAAATTTTATATTAACTGTTGTCGTTTGATGACATATGGTGACATCAAATTGTTAAAACCATGACTATTGCTTATCTTCTGGTTACATGAAATAATTGAAATCACCACTGTAAACTACTTATAACCATGAAAATTTCATATTAACTATGGCAAATTCGTTACATATAGATATACAAAATTGTTAAAAATGGTGGCCGTTGGTTACCTTTTGTCACATGAAATAACCAAAACCATGACAATGAACTAATTATAGTATCACAAATTTAATAGAATGCGTGGTTCGTTCATGATGCATGGTTACGTTGAATTTTAGTAACCGTTGTGTTTTGCTCGCACAAAATAACTAAAACTATGGCAATATAGTATTTACAGCCACACAAATTTTATATCAACCGTCACCAATTCTTGATATATGATTTGCTTTAGATTGTAGAACTGTGGCTATTGATTGCTTTCGGGTCAAACAAAATAACTAAATTGTGGTCATAAACTCCTTACAATCACTGTTTAAATTATCATACGACCATTATAGAAGTTGATCATGACAATAATAATCTTTGGCAACAATTTCAATAATGCGTGGCAAAATAATAATAACTTTAGAAAAAGTTTATTTTAATATTTAATTAAAAAACATCAAACGATTATATTAATAGATCATATAAATAAGGTATAAGAACACCAATGATAAACTTATCACTACTATTTCTCAAATATATTAGACTTTTGCTCATTAAAGTTATTCTTTGATTTTCTTGCGAAAACAAAGATTCCAACTACAAGATGACTACTTTAGTCCACAAACGGACCTTTGCAATTTGCATACGTTTCAGGATACTTTGGATGCTTAAAACCTTTTAGTTGTACCATGTACACGGCCTCGCTTAAATCTCCATTAAGAAACGTAGTTTTAAAATCCATCTGTCATATCTCATAATCATGATACACAACTGTGGCCAGAAGAATCTTGATGGATTTAATTATAACTGCTAGAGAAAAGGTCTCATCATAATATACTCGTTGAGTCTGAGTGAAACCTTTTGCTACCAACCTAACTTTATAGGTATGCATACTCCCATCCATGTTAGTTTTCTTTTTTAATACCATTTGAATCCAACAATTTTGCTACGAGCAGATGCATCTACCAAGTTCCAAACTTGGTTGTCCGACATGGATTATATTTCAGCCTTCATGGCATCATGCCATTTATCAGATTCCGAACATGATAAGGCTTCCTGGTAGGTTGTAGGTTCATCATGAACTGTATCGTCACTACCAATGAGATAACCATATCTTTCAGGCTCTTGACGATTCCTACCCGATCTTCGGATTGTTTGTATCACGTCATTTTTCTCAATAACCTGTTGAGGTTCAACATCTTGTTGATGGTTAGTGTCAACCATAGTCTCATATTATGGTTCTTGAATATCTTCAAGTTCTACTGTATCCCTTGTAGTGGTTCTTGTTAGAAAAACATTTTCTAAATATTCACCACGTTGCGCAACAAATACTTTGTTCTCGCTGAGTTTGTAGAAGTAATATCCTATTGTCTTTATTGGGTATCCGTCAAAGATGCACTTTTTAGACCTTAGGTCAAGCTTCTTGCTTAACAAAATACCACAACCCCAGATTCTTATATAAGATAATTTTGGGATATTTGCAGTACATAATTCATAAGAGGTTTTATTGGTCTTTTTGGTTGGTGATTTAATCAGTATACAGATAACTGTTTCTAAGGCATATCCCAAGAAACTCTTAGGCAGAGTGGTACTACTCATCATAGACTGAACCATGTCCAACAAGGTTCTATTTCTTCTTTCAGACACACTTTATCCTGAGGTGTTTCGGGAGGTGATAGTTGTGATACTATCCTACAGTCTCAAAGAAGATCAACACACTCTTGGCTTAAATATTTGCAACCTCGATTTGACTGAAGCGCTTTTATCTTTCTTTTTTCCAAGTTAATTCTCTACTTCATTCTGAAACTCTTTTAATATCTCAAAGCTTTCAGATTTGTTTTTCATTAGGTAAATATATACATATCTGCTGAAGTCATCAGTAAAGGTAATGAAGTAGCGATGATCATTTCTTGTGACTGAATTGAAAGACCCACATACATAAGTATGAATGTCTCCTAACAGTTCTGTAGCCGTATAAGGTTTGAATGTAGAAGGCGCCTTGTCATATTTCCTAATAAACAAGACTCACATATATCATATGAGTTATCACATGATTCTAACACTCCGTTCTCTTGGAGTTTGGCTATGCTTTTCTTTTTTGTATGTCCAAAACGAAAGTTCCACAAGTAAGTCTAATTTAAGCCTTACTTAATTCGTTTAATGTTTACATTGTATATTGATTTATAATTACTGTTATTTTGCATATCAATTTCATAAATAACATTGTGTGGTTTAACTACAAAATGAAAAACATTGTTAAGGTATGTAGAAATTGTACTATTACTGAAAGTAAACATAAATCTAGTTTGCTATTGAGGAAATGAAACTATATCCCTAGTAATTCTAGGTACACATAAACACTTTCTAAGTGTTAAAGTAAGGCCATTGGGTAGTCCCATATCATAATGTCCCTTGAGCAACTACAACTACAATAACTCCATTGCCCATCCTTAGTTCCATCTGGCCTGGTTTTATCTTCTCTTCACTTTTTAGTCCCTGTAAAGTAGTACAAATATAAGTACCACATCCAATATCCAATACCAAGAATTTGTATTAGAAGTGAACAAATCAATTGTAAAAAAAAACTGAAGCTTAGGATGCAATAGCCTTCTGCTTCCTTCGTTCTGCTAGTAAGGCTGGGCATTTTCTCTTCCAATGCCTCTTTTGGTTTCAAGCAAAGTGCATTCTCAGGAATCTTTCCCTTGCCCTTATCCTTGTTGGAACTTCCAACCTTTGTTTTACCCTCGATAATCACCCTCTTCTTTTTACTATCCCGCCTGTACGTTTGATCATCAAAACCTGCTTTGGTTTGGTTACATCAAACTTGGAATTTATACTTCTCACAACAACTTTAAGCATGTCGTGAAGCTCTATGAGATATTTATCCAAACCGTTCATACTATAGTTTAGGATGAGTTGGTTATATGATTTAGGTAAGCAATTGAGGACCATATCGGTTGCTAATTCCTTTTCAAGTGGGAATCCTAGATGGGTCAACCACTCAATGCACTCTTTCATTTTAAAAACGTGGGAACCAACCAATGACCCATCAGTTATCATACATACATGCAATGTCCTGACTGTTTCAAACCTTTCCTACCTCTCCTGTAACTGAAACATATATATCACTAAGATCATCATATCCTAGGCTGACATGTCTTCATGATCCCTCAACAACTCCGGAGTCATAGAGGCAAGCATAATACAACCATCATATAGTGAGTCATTCTAGTAGTTATCATAAGCAACCTTGACTTTAGTTGACACATTTCTAAAGGATTGTTTGCAGGGGTTCTTTCAAGAACATATAACTTCTTTCATGCCTAAGGACGACTCTTAGGAAGCAAAACCATTTTTTTATTAAACCTGATAATTTTTTCCTTATCAAGGATAGATCATAGTGTAAACAAGGATAGGTTGTTCATGTTTATGTTTGAAGCGGAAGCAAACATCTACAAAATTTCGAGTTCAATTTCAGTAACTTTTAAAATCTCAAATTAAATAATTAACCTTTCAGGGCTTAGGGTTTATGGAGCTATTGTAATTTAAATTCCATTTTTATAAATATATTTTTTTAAAATAATAAATAATCATAAAAATAATTAAATTTTCTTTTTACTAATTGATTATACAAAATCAATTAGTAAAAATTAATTAACATATATGAACAAAATGTCAAAGGGTATTTTGGTAAAAAGTAATCTATCTTTGATACACGAGTTGTCAGACATATGAACAATTTGTGTATATCCTCAAAACACATCAAACAAAAAAGATTAGACATATGAACAACTTGTGTATATCCTCAAAACACATCAAACAAAAAAGATTAGACATATGAACAACATGTGAACCGTATGAACATCTTCTGTATATTCATGAGCCAACTCTGTTGTATGTACATGAATTACACAAACGACCTCGGTATGATACCGAATCACATATATGATGCATTGTGATACCATTGTGGTATCATCAGAGGACGGTGGCCGGAGAGAGAAGAAAAGAGAGAGAAGAGTTTTAAAATACCTAAAATGTTCTTGCATTAAAATTTTAATTCAAAATTACTAAAATTATAAATTTTCTAATTTATCTATTGATTTGTGGTTGAAATTAGATCTCACAGTTACTACAAACTAATTAGTTCTCATTTGATTAGACCTTATATATATATATATATATATATGTATGTATGTATGTATGTATGTATGGGGGAACGTTCAAATAAAAACCACTCAATTTGTAAAAACCGTGAAAACCTCATTCAACCAATCATAATTTTTCATTTTGTTCATTTTTTGTAATTATGAGAGATTGATTAACCATTTTTATTGTGGAGAGTGTTAATCATGGATATTATCAACTTCATTATTTTAATTTTAGAGAAATACATGAAACAGTTTTATTAAAATTTCATTAAATATTATATGAAACAATTTCATAACCATATATGAAACAAATTCATCAAAAAAAGTATTATATGAAACAATTTCACAAGATTAAACAATTTCATGAAAAAAAATTCATAAGATTAAACAACGAAATCGATATATAAGGATGGTTTGTACGATTTTTACAAATAAGAGTAGTTTTCATTTGATCAGTCTTGTACATGTATATATATATACATATTTTCCGTAACTTTGCATGTATATATACATATTTTCCATAACTTTGCATGCAAAGGGAAGCAATGGCCATCCACTAATCTCTCTCTGCCATCCTCCATATCACCCGCCTATACATTTACCTATGAATCCTACCCAACATCTCTCTGCCATCCTCCATATCATCCGCTTATACATTTACCTCTGAATCCTACCCAACATCTCTCTGCCATCCTTCTTACCGCTGCTTCTGCTGTTTCCGATATCATCAACCTCCTCCAGATCTCTCAAAGAAGAGAAGAAAACAGAAACCCAAATTAGCAACAACTCGGACCTGCATTTAGTTGTGGGGTTCGAGTTGTATGGAAAAGATCAAGAAAAAGACAAAGACATAAGTGCGAGATTTGAATTCGTGTAACCCAAGAACATGGATTATCGTCCATTAGACATCACGGTGATCTCCGCCAGTGTCCTCGAAAACTTGTTGTTCTTCTTCAAGGTCAAAGTGTACGTCGTTGTTTCCTTGATAAACGGCAAATCAATCATTGAAAAGAAGACCCATTCCTCCCACGGCCGGAACCCTAAGTGGAACCACCGCATCAAGTTTTCGGTCCAAGAGTCAGCTATCCAAACCAGCACCCTCCTCTTTGTTCTGCGCCAACACCGCCTATTCGGTGACAAAGAAATTGGCGAGGTCTCCATCCCGGTCCGGGAGCTCCTTGAGACAAACTCCGATTCCGGCACCATGGAACATGTCGTTGATTATCAGGTTCAATCCATCAGAGGGAAATCCAAAGGTACTTTCACCTTTTCACACCAGTTCAGAGAGAGAGTTCCGGCAGATCAAACCGTCGTCACCGGTAGTTCTCATCCTCCTCCGGTTAATCAACAAGGGATGATGCCTGCTTACCCTCAATCATCGTATTCTGCAACTCCGGGATACTACCTAGCCACCCAATACGGTGGCGCGTGGTACCAACACACGACAACTCCATACCCTACCCAACAAGTGGGCTATAATCAACAAGTGTAGCAGTTAAATTGTTTGGCATGGAAACCTAGAGCAACGACCATCAAAGCTTATATTGATTTTCTTGGTCTAAACCTTAGATTAATGTGCATTTTGGGGGTGTTTCTTTCTAAATAGCAAGGATATATAAATTAGCCATTAATGCAGCATACAAACGTCTGACGTCTTTATAGTGGTATTAGATATTGTAATTTTATTTTGTTTGAATGAACTTGATAGTGGTATTCGATGAAATTTTTTAATTTTTTATTTATTATTTTTAAGAAATTCGTCACAAGTTTTTCGCCGGTAATTTTTAATGGATCACCGGCAGATTGATTGACCATCATCGACGGATGATTGAAAATCCACGGGTGATCATGATTACTATCATGATTACTGGCAACAGTTTCTCCACCGTATACGTCAGTGATACTTTTTTCGACATATTACCGATATATTTTTCTGTCGTAAAGCTGTATTAACTTCCTACCGGCCTTTCCGTTCTTATTGCTAGATATTGAACATTTTTTTTATTGTATTATTATATTTTTGTGATAATTTTGAATATAATTTCTTAATTTTGAGAATAGATATACTAATGCTATAAAATTATAGGATTTTACATATTATATGAAAATTTATAATTTATAAGCAAATATTGTTTTTGAATTGCAAAATCACCAAACGATTACCAACAGTTACGGGCAAAGCACAATTTTCCATTAGTAATCGATTAGTAAAGTCTTCTCGGTTATTTGTTATATTGGCAATTTGTGATTTATGTGATAAGCTCGTTTTTATATGCATCTTGTTAGTAGAAGTAATTTGTTGTTTAAGTTTATTTCATGTTTAGAATAGTTTTGAGATCATCTAAGATGTTCAATCATGAGTTGAAGTTGAAAATTGTAACCTTTGACAATCTTTAAAAAAATCAAAGCTTAGTGATGAATTTTTAAGACATTGAAATCATCATGAAAATGTTAAGATGTTTGATATTGTATGTTTCTTGGTATCATTAAGATGTTATTAGATGGAATGAAGAAGAAAATTCCCCGCCAAACATGTTCTTGATGGTAGATTAAAGGTTATGTCAAAACAGTTGATTTTTTTCAAAAAGTCAAATTGTTTTGCTTAATGAACAAATTCTATATTTTTATTGTGTTTGACAGAGTTTATTTTAATAGAAAATATTGTATTTTAAATTATTGAAAAAAAATAATGTTGACAGATCACCGGCAGAAAACTGTTGGTTAATTCTAGGATAGGTCGTCGGTAATCCATTGGTGAAAATCCCATGGAATCTTGTTGGTAGTAATAGACATCGGAAATCCTTCGGTATATCATCTGTCGGAAATCCGTCGATGACTTCCACCATCTGTGATCCATTGGTGAATGTTCGTTGGCGGTAATCCTTTGGTGAAATATGTCGTTGGTGATCCTAGGGTAACTACCGTCGTTGATAGCTTTACCCACTAAAGTCTCTATGACAGACTATCACAGATGGAGCCGACTTTCACCAAAGGTATCATATATAAGACTCAACGTGCAGTGTATCATATATTTAAACTATAAAGAGTAAGCGTATAGTTTTAAAAAGTTATACACATACAATAATAATTTATAAACTTCATCGTAATTAAAAGCTTTTACTAACACAATAAAATACATTAGAATGTAATGCACACATAACGATTTCTACTTGTTTTCATCATAACAAATTGCCCACTTTATTAATACCATCTCATTCAAATTTTCAAGCTGTTTCATGGTCCTCGTTCTTTGAGGACTCTTTATTTTCATGAACATGTAAATCGTCATCGATGGTAATCGCCACAGTTTTGGTGCCATTTGGACCTTCCAAAATGTTCTCTTTCACCTTCAAATGCTCATCAACATGCACCGTATCATCGGCTTCAGTCGTTTTGCTGCACTTCGACTTCTTGACGAAGCAATAAAATGCAACGGATACGAGTGCAAGGAAGAAAGCGCAGCCAAACGAATAGAAAACTATGAAGACGATTGTCGCCATTATGTTAATTGTCGAGTTTTCTTGTGAAATTTGGTGGATTTTTGAGATGGGTTCGATGTTTGGTGGATAGGTATTTGTAGTAAAGAAGGATTGTGATGGGTTTGTAGATTGCGTTGAAGCTTCATGAACTAGACTTGGCTCGCATTTTAAGCTTGTTAATTGTTTGTATTGTAAAACACCTCTCAACATTTCAAACATCCATTTTTTTAATTAGGGGTGTTTTTTCATACAAATGACAAACCTAAAAATATGCTTGAAACTTGGAACTTGGAGAAAAAGTCTAAAAATAACTAATATTTTTTGTAAAATTTTAAGATGATTTATAAATATAAAAAATTAAAAAAAAAACTTATTCGGTTTAATAGATATTATACAAAAATTACCAAAAACGTAACTAGAAAAAACCGATAACCAGATAACATGAATTGTTTAACCGAAATCGGGGGGCTTCAATGGTGGACGGATCCTTCGATGATCTGCTGGTAAATCCGCTCAGTGGCAAATTACCGGCAAACAACTACTGTCACAGACTCCTTGACCGATGGTTGCTATCAACAGCAAATCACCAGTGGCCGGAGAATCATCGATGGATAGGTTGTCGCTAAATTATTTTTCGGATTAGTAGAATTAATTAAGCCTTAATCGATTTGGCGGATAAATTCACCAACGGGTTAGGCCACCGGCGGGATATTTAATTAAATAAATATTTAACTAAACCATAGTTAAATAAATAATAAAATATCAGGGATAATTTCAGCAGTGGGAATGGGCCGTCGGTGATCCGCCAATGATCACCGGTTGATCCATTTTATTTTATTTTAAATTTTGGAATTATTACCGACGAAAATTTCATCCATTACTCCGTCGGTAATTTTGTCCAGTTCATAAAAAAATGTTTTTTTTATATATTTTCCCTCTAAATTAAAATAATTTGATAAGCTTATAGACGACAATTTAAATTTAAAACTGAACGCAAATATTTTACATTCAAATTAAAAAAATACGATTTTTTCCATAACAAATTCAAATTTAAAGTAATTGTTTGTTTGTCGCACATCATGAGAAACAACCTAATCACACGGCGAAAAAGGAAAAATGAGAGCGTGAACTTCTTGACCATCTCCCCCATCTCTTCCTACTTGCGTCTGCCCTTTCGTCGTCCCAACGCTTCAACTCTCCAACCCGAGCCTCTAAAGTTTCAACCTACAAATATAAGGAAACATAAAAGTAAGTATTATCAACTAATATTAGAGTTAGACATTATAACAAGAACAAAATATAAACCCGAGCATCGGCAAATGCTTACCACCAGAAGGCCAGTGCTAGTACACGAAGCACCCTGACCCAACACATATTGGGGATCCACGTTGTACCCGAAGCCAAACAGGCGACCTTTTTTACACACCCCCTGTTGCGGGCATTCACAGCTCCAGATCAACGGGAGGATAAGCATCGACATCCTCCTCGTACTTCTGGCTAAGGTTAGGTTAGCCTAGTACTGATCCAATATAGTTATAAAAAATTACAAGCGAAATTTTAAAAGTTGGACATTATAATGACTGGAAATCGGATGTTTCCTGGTTAAAGATAAGCAATCCTAACGTTTGCCCAACAATTGGCAACCCAGATTAGATATATAAGACGAGACGGGTTAAAGTTAAACAATCTAACACTTACCCAATAAATTAGAACAAAAACTAGATATACAAGACGAGACAAATTAAAATTAAGCATTCCTAATATTGCCCAATATAATGGCAACTCAAACTAGATATATAAGACAGAAGATTAGAGATAAACAATCCTAAAATTTGACCAATAAATGGCCACCCAAACTATATATAAGACAAACTAAATTTTAACAAGTATATATGCAAATAAACTTTATGCAACTCGACTACATCGGGAAGTGATGTAGTTTCTTTGGCTCCCTCTCCCCAAGAGGACGACTCTGAACTAGTCCTCTTCTTGTGGGTACGTTCGAAGAGGTCAATAACGGAAATGAGCATGTGTCTGTTTTTGCTTCAATCTTCAAACAACTAAATTAGTAGTTATTTGTATCATAAGAACAAAAAAATGTACTTTACACTCGGTTTTAAGACTTTATCAACTATGATAACCGGTTATTCGGTTATAAAGTCCGAGGTTGTTTATAATTGATGGTGGCAAGTTCAAGGGTTAAATGTGTATATGTGCTTAAATTATTTTTAAAAGCTCCCATCAACCTCTTATATTAAATTGCTATAATGAGTTATGTGAATTATCTCATTGGGGATTGTAATTAAAGAGTAAAAAGGGAAAGAAAACTTATGTGTGTTCTTTGGTGGGCAAAAACAAACAGAAACCATAAGGAGGAAAGAAAGAAGTTAAGTTCTGTGAATCCTTATTCAGGATATTTGATGTGATTTTTATTCTCATATCTACATTTCACTATGATTACAAGGTGAATTATTTTACAAACTTTTCTTTTATGGCATTGAAAAAAAGGGTATGATTTTTTATATGGGGACATTATAAAACTGTTTTGATGCTATAATTAGCATGAATTGGTATTTTGATCAAGTGTTTGGAATAAGGATGGTATATCAAGGAGATGCTATTTTGGTTATAAGGGTGACATATCCAGGAGAGGTGTATTTTGGGATAAGATGACATATCAAGGAGATGTGTATACCAGAATAAGGGTAGCATAATCAAATAGATGTACAATCTAGGTTTTGATCAAAGTGTTATCTGTTTGTCGCACCCTTGAGATGCAATGACTTGAGTTTATCGCATCCTTGTGATGCGATAAAGTGTGTTTATCGCATCATTGTGATGCGACGAGTGAACTATAGGATGCGACAAGTTGTTTTATCGCACCCATGTGATGCGATGAGTTGGAGTCCTCGCACAAGTGTGATGCGAGGAGATGGGGTTGTCACACCCATGTGATGCGAGAAATTAATCATTTTACCTATATGATGCGATGACATTTATCAAAATGTGATAA